TTATTTCCTGTTGCTTAATCTAATATATATCGTTCTTTAATTTATAATTGTTGTTTTGTCGCTTTTTTATATCTAAATTATTCGAATGGTTTCAAAATATTTCGAATAGTGTCGAAATATTTCGAATGGTTTCGAAATATTTCAATTTATTCGATATATTGCGATTTATTTCGATGTTTTTTACGCTATACTGCGTAATAAATTACAGAATATTACATAATATATTTGTAATATTTCGAAATATATTTTGTAATATTTCGTAATTTATTTCGAAATATTCTGCCTAGGTCGTAATTATTGCGCAATATTTCAGTCCATAATAACTTACGTAAGTTTACGTTTATATATTTTGCTGATGTATAACCACTATGTAAATTCTAAGCAAGCATAAGAAGCATAGCTGGATGTTTTGTTTTTTGAAATCCAATAGCAGATAGAAGTTTTCCAAAAGCTTCATTTTCGAAATTTGTTAAAACTATATGTAAAATATGTAAGCTACATCCAATTCGAACTGTTAAAGTGCTTGCCCATTTTGTAAATAATGAAATAGCCCCTTTATTCTTGCCGGTTAGATATGCGGTATTGTTAGTTAACTATACCAAACAATTTTGAATATCTAAATAGGATGCTTGAATTATTTCTATAACCATCTTTGCAACTGTTTCACCATTACAGCATTTAATATCTTTAAGATGTGTCATTTGAGCAACCAGAAAATTTTTATCAGAATCCCAAAACATTAAACACATAACAAAGTGTTTTGTTCCACCTCTAGTAGATTCATCTATCATTATTCCATAACTTGGTACCTTTTGTGTATAGGATATAAGTTTATTAACTTGAATTTGCAAAATATCCTTATGCCATATTGCTAAAGTAGAATTAGAAAACTATTGTTTTAGAGGTTCACCAACTAAAAATTCATATATCAACTTCATACACTCAGTTGTAGATCGAATTGATACTTGTCCTACTTGTGAAATTCATGATGCCGACCAAACTGTATTCGAAGAATATACTCGTTCATTAATTTTAAAAAGCTTTTTTACTTGCTCTTTAAATGCATCAGGTGATATAGAATATGTTCTAACTAATGAATGGATTTGAGAAATATGGTGAACTTTTTGATCATACAAGTGCCTTTTAATTGACTCTAGTGATTTCATTTTGGAGATCAACTTGCTATTTTTTTAATTAAGCCTTTTGTTATCTAGCTTTAACTGATGATTCATTACTTGTAATGTTTTAATTAAAGAGTTATGCTTATAAAAATTTTGATCAATATAATTTAAAGCTTTAATTTGAAGATGAGGTAACAAAATTTCACCCTTATTAGAACCTTGCGAATAACGCATTTTTTCAAACAAATGGGTGGTAGCAGTTATTGCTTTGAAGGTAATTGTTCAATCTCAGAAATTAAGATAGAACGCTTTTTTTTTAATACAGTTGATTCGTTGAATTTTTTTATTATTTGACCAGTAAACTTCAATTGTTTATAATCCATATCATTTAATTGTTCATTAATTTCTTGCAGTTTACACCTTTTATAGGCTTCCTGTCAACTTTTCACACTTTTTTGGGCAGCTTGTTTTGCTTGGAACCGACGCTTATTTGAACGATAAATTCCCATCCTTTAAACCCAAACCTTATTTAGATATGTGATTTGAAATATGCATCATATAAAGGTAAATTCTTGATAGAGACAAATTTTGAACCAATACAAACAAAGTTACGTTATCATATTTTATCTTGGTATATTTAAAACCTTACTAGTATCCACAAAAAGACGACAAACTTTAATATCGATTAGAAATTTTAAGTTAAAGATCGTATAGGTATTTTTTCTCAAAAACCAGATTTAAAATATAAAAATAAATAATGTAAAGTTGTTGATGTTACACTTATGAATAAATTCATATATAAAAAAGGTAAAGACAAGTCATTGTATATGCCAAATTTCTAAAAATACCTGACCATTTTTTTATATGTATTTATTATATTGTGAGATACAGATCAATTTTGCTAGAAAATGTTACAATATAAAATTTGATATACATCTATACATAATTTTGATTTTATTGGTTGATCGCACCCCAATATTACACGACTGATTTTACACACGGTGTGAAACACATAAAAAAATTATTTCTCGATCAGTCAAATAGTACAGTACATGTTACGATTATAATTCAACATGATTTTTTATTATAAAAAAATGATGTTGGATTATAATCATAACATGTACTATTTGACTGATCGAGAAATAATTTTTTTATGTGTTTCACACTGTGTGTAAAATCAGTTGTATAACATCAACGGTTCCTCCTGTTTTCCTTGGTGGCACTCAAATGATATAATATGTTATGTTTAAATGTAATACAGTATGTAGTATTAAATAGAATAGGATAGTTAATTTAAAAAATGAATGTAACAGAGATAAAAAAAAAGAAATACGTATGTCATAGAAATTGTCTACTGTAGTTAGTGTGCAATCTTGGATAAAATAGCCCTTATCTGAGCTAGACTAACACTAGAAGCCCGTATAGTGTGTACCCACTTGACACTTATTAATCTCAACTCATAAAAAATCTGATTAGCAATATTAATTTAGTAATTACATTTTAAAGACCAAATCCAGTAAATAATAAATTATAGAATTGAAAGCCGAATCATCATTTCTTCTTTCATTTGGGATTTGCCACAGCAAAATGATGCAATAAGCCAACCGATCAGATTTTGAGATTTTATAATAATAATCTATTTAAACATTTTATCATTCCGCCACCCTGATCGACCGATGAAGGATCTGGTGTAAAATGAAAATCGAAGCGAAATAGTTTTTTTTTTTTTAAAAAAAAAAAAAAATCAAAACAAACCAAATAATTGGTCAATTAATAAAAAATAAAAATTAATTAAATAAAGGGAACAGGTATTTCTACACCCTTTGAACATGTGCATACATATTAAAATAGTGTAATATTTTATTAACGGTAGTAAATTTTAACGAAGTTGAATTATAGCTACTCAATTTTTGATCTAGTGAATTGCATATCATGGTATTCAGTGTTGGGCAAATTAGTGGTCGACCAAAAATTTACTGGTCAAATTGGTCTGGTCAAATTGGTCAAATGGTTGAACTGGTCAGATTTGTCAAATCTATTATATAAATATAATATATATGTTGTACCCGGATTTGGAATCTGCCCAATTCGGAATTAGTTCATCCTGATTCAAAATCGGGGTGGCCGAATTTGGAATCCGTAAACGGGTTACCCCGATTGAAAATCATTCAACTGCATGGTACCACATGATTTAATATCATCCGCTTCGATTTGAGTATTACATTGATGGATTGTTTGCTACGTATTACTGGTATAAGTTACAAACTGATTTTTTTAGTTAGATATATAGCCTTTAACGTTAAGATTTGTTTTTTAAATCTAAAGTTTATATTTAAGTTGAAAAAATTAAACAATTTGTCTTAGCAATTGCAAAACAATGCAAAAATAAAAGATAGAAGATTTGGCAATTCTTGAATGTGTACCAAGTTAGTGGCACATTAATCAGTTCAAATAATTTGAGCCAAATAAAAAATCCAATGATAACAATAGTAAGACTACTGTATAAATTTTAATAGAAAGAAAACACTATTTTTTAACATTATTCTACTCGAATCATGTTTTTGTTATTTTCTAAAAAGTATATTTTTCTTCATTTTTTTTTCATAATCTTTAGCCTCTAATATTATTGCTTTGAATTCAAAAAATCTCAAATAAACACTTACTATAATCTATGCTGAATCATTTCTTAATGTTAAGGATATTTACTTTTATAATTAAATTTTATAGCTTTGTTATCCTTACATACTTCCGAAATTACTGTAATCTACTCTACTACATATTAAGTATGGTCAACTTCCTTTATAATAGTATCTTTTTATAATGAACGATCTAAAAATTTTAAAAATTTTATTTCTGTTATGTCTTCAATTCACAAATGAAAAATAGAAAATATTCAAAATATAGAATGGTTTATAAAACACGTTTCATAGAAAAAGAAATTTTAGAAATAAAAGAAATTATTGTGGCTGGTTAATGTGCTATCAACCTGGCATTCAAAAATTACTAGTCTTTAATTAATGATTACTTAACATTTTATTGATACATAGGTCAAAATGATATTAATATTTTTTATTCAGAGTGAGTAGACAACAATATTTTTGCAAACCTAAAATTTCACTGCTTTCAACCTAATAAATTAATTAAATATGAGACATGAATTTATAAAAACCTGAATTTTCAATTACACAGAATTCTAAAAAAACTAATTTCATATATCGCAGGATTTATTTTTAAGCGTCACAGAAAGCCAGCAGCCTTATTTAATTTCTTTTTATATTTCCTTCATAACATAAATGCAAAATATACTAAAAAACATATAATGCTAAAGCATTTTCTAAATACAATCTATCTAGTTTTCAAGCTCTATTTTTACATTTGGAATTCTTTGAATGACATCTACTTCTACATAAAACGTTTGCTTTTTTACAAAAGCATTTTGCCATAAGGCAATTACCTCTGCAGTTGCAACTTTTATTACTAGCAAAGGTATTAGATTGCAATCTTGCTGTCTTAACGATACTGACATTTTTATAGGTTGGGTGATTGTCCAGTTCAGAAAATTCTCTTGGCCCAAGTGGCAAGACTTCACTAGCTGAAAATGCTCTTTCAAGAACACCAAATCGGCATACAA